TGATGAGTTGGTGACTCATTTGAGAGCATTGGAATCCTTAAAGATTGAGGCCAGACAGATGTCTGTATTTATATTTCCAATGATTGAGGCATGTCTCTCAGAGGAACTCATGAAGGCTTGGCAAAGAAGCCCCCTCCATGATGTCAAGATTGATGCTAATGATTCGACTCAAACTAGAGTTGACCTAATTATGGAGTTTCTCCAAAAGGAAGCTGCAGCAGAACAAGACAGAGCCTTAGCTGGATCCAAGTTTGGACTTAGATCTCTGAAACAAGATAGAAACGTGGGCAGACAATCACATCCTGCTAAGATACCTACGGCCTCTGGACTCTTTGCTGGACGTGCCCAGAATTGCATCTTTTGTAATAAAGATCATAAAAACACAGAATGTCTTGCTGCGCGCAGAATGAGCATTAAAGAAAGAAGAGAGCGTATTAAAAACGCTAAATGTTGTTTCTCCTGCCTCCAACCAGGTCATATCTCTTCTAATTGTAGAAGGCGCATAACTGAATGTAATCGATGTAAGAAGAAGCACCTTGATATTTTATGCCCTCTTAATGCTCCTGCACGAGAGTCAGCGGATGAAGACAAGGAACAGGTGGAAGACTGTGACGCTTCTCCTACAGTTGAAAACGGAGTTTCATTCTCCGGTCTTAGCGCTTCGTCTCTGATTTTGCTACAGACTCTGAAGATTAAAGTCGAAGGTGCGACTTCGGCGAAAGTAGTGCGTGCCCTCCTTGACACAGGTTCCCAACGATCCTATATTTTGTCTAAAACTGCCCAGGATCTCGGACTATCTCCCATTGGCCAGGAATCACTTAAACATGTGGTGTTTGGAGGTCATACTAGTGAAAGTGTCCACCAAGAATACAGAGTCAATTTGGGTCATGCATCGGGGAATTTTAAGATGGTTGCGAAGCTTCTTGACCAACAAAAAATCTGTGGTAACCTACCAAGATTGAGCCGCGGGCCATGGTTGAAAGAACTCAAAGCCCGCAAAATCTGGGTTCCTGATATTGGAAAGGATGACATGGAAATTGAAATACTTCTAGGATGCGATGTATTGGGATCTATTTTCATGATGAAATCTTGTGTGTTGTCAAATGGCTTGACTGCGTCGCAGACGCGTTTCGGATGGACTTTAATGGGAGAATGTCAGCCAGGTAGTGACGTTTCACTCGCTCATCATGTTACAACGATGACAATTTCGGAGAGCAGTATAACAAATCTGTGGAATCTCGATGTTCTTGGCATTATGGATCCTATTGAGGTTAAACAGAGAGATCAGAGAGACGCACTGGCGCGTCGACATTTTCTAAAAACAGTCCAACATTCTGTTTCAGGAAGATATGTTGTTTCCCTTCCGTGGACTGTAGAGAAAGCTAAAATCGCGGACAACAGGGAGGTTGCTATGAAGAGATTATATAGAACAGACGACTAAGAAATTAATCTCTTTGAATCTTTATGAGGACTATGATGATATTTTCCGAGACTGGTTGGATGATGGGATAATTGAGAAAGTCCCAGCTGAACAACACGACGCTGAGGCCTTCTACCTGCCTCATCGTCCTGTGGTGAAACTCTCCAGTGGGACTACGCCTATCAGGCCTGTCTTTGATGCTTCTAGCAAGGTCTATAGATCCCCATCTTTAAATGACTGTCTTGAAAAGGGACCTAACTTCATAGAGATGATTCCCAACCTTATGCTAAGGTTTAGAAATGGCAAGTTTGGTGTCGTGGCAGACATTAAGAAAGCGTTTCTTCAGATTGAGGTGAATGAAAGGGACAGAGATTACTTGCGTTTTCTGTGGTATTCCCAAAATAGAGAAAAGACAGAAGTATTTAGACATAGACGTGTCGTTTTCGGCGTTAACTGTAGTCCTTTCATTTTGGGGGCAGTAATAGAATACCACCTGTCTAATGTTCGACCTGAACATAAACCGTTAGCTCAGAGGTTGCAGAAATCCTTTTATGTGGACAATTTAGTCACAAGCGTGAACTCTTTTGAAGAGTCACAAGATCTCAAATTGACCGCAACGTCCATCATGGATAATGCTAGGTTGGAGCTAAGCCGTTGGGAGCATAGCCTGGACGTGGCCTCCGATACTTACCCCTTTGAAAGAGCAGAGATATCTAAAGTGCTTGGTGTATGTTGGGATAAAAGGGAAGATTGTTTGTCATGTGAAATTCCCGTAGCCATACCCCCCAAGATAACCAAAAGGAGTATCCTGTCCTGCTTAGCTCAGATATATGACCCTATTGGATTTCTGAGTCCAATATTGATAAAGCCTAAAATTCTATTGCAAAAAGCTTGGACTCTAAAGTTGGCATGGGACGATGAATTGGACCGTCACTACAAGGATGAACTAAGCCTATGGTTCGACGACCTTCAGCTGCACAAAGGCGTGGCAATTCCTAGGAATTTCAATCCATTGATGGTACCGCAGAAGGACTGGCAGATACACACGTTTGTTGATGCTAGTAGTGAAGCTTATGCTGCTGTGGTCTTCCTTCGGACTCGGGTTGGTGACAAAGTTGAAGTGCATATGATGGCGGCTAAGTCTCGAGTCGCTCCTCTCAAGAGACCTACGATACCAAGACTTGAACTTTTAGCCTGTGTTGTAGGAGCACGATTAAACAAGATGATCTTTGAAGCTCTAGAGTTAAAAGATATCAAAAATGTATTCTGGTCTGATGCCACAACAGCCCTCGCTTGGATAAAGCGCGATGATCAGTGGGGTACCTTTGTCGGGAATCGCGTGAAGGAGATATGCAGACTTAGTGATCCTGTAAATTGGAGATATGTTCCTAGCGAGTGCAATCCAGCTGATTTACCCTCCAGAGGATGCAGCCTCTCCCGACTGATACAGTCTAGATGGTGGGAAGGCCCTTCCTGGTTAAAACTCTCCGAAGAATTTTGGCCTTCCAGGTATAAAGACCTGAATGAAGAAGAAATCTGTGCGGAAAGAAAGAAAATTGCTGTTGTGACAACAGTTAAGAGTACCGATCATTGGTACATGAAATATTTCTCCTCGTTCATAAAAAATGTGCGGATGATGGCGTGGATTAGAAGGTTCATCAACAACCTCCGATCTTCAACGAAAGTAAAGGGCGAACTTTCTGTGAAGGAGATCGATGAAGCGGAGCTGGCGCTTTTGAAATTAGTTCAGGCCGAGTGTTTCCCTAGCCACTCTATACCTGGTCTGAAGGTATCTGAAGTAGAAGGAATCCTGCGTGTGAAAACAAAATTGATTTACAGCAGCGACGAATATGGCTTCCGTTTGCCAGTACTATTACATGGGACTCATCCGTTGATTGAACAAATGATATGTGATTCACACGTTGAGAATAGCCACGCTGGCGTACAAATTTTGGTGAAGAAACTTCGGGGGAAATATTGGATAGTAAAAGCGCGACAGACCATTAAGAAAATAATGAGAAGATGTGTCAAATGTCGCCGCTTCTCCGCTAAACTCGTTGTGGTGGAAGACGCTTAACTACCTGCCACTCGAGTACATAACGCCAAGGTATTCGAGGTGGTAGGGATTGATCTGGCGGGCCCGCTCTATCTGAAGAATCAGACCAAGACCTGGGTTGTTCTCTTCACCTGTGCTGTGTACCGCTGTGTACATTTGGAACTGGTAATATCTCTCAGCACAGAAGATTTCCTAATGGCCCTGGAGAGAGTCATCAAGAGACGAGGACGTCCATCCACCATCTTCAGCGACAACGGAACGAATTTTGTAGGAGCCAATAACTTCTTTAAACAGATTGATTGGGAACATGTTTCTAACGACGGGAAAGTGAAGCGTATTGAATGGAAATTCATCCCGCCCACTGCTGCCTGGTGGATGGTGAGAGATTCGTTCCCTTAAAGATATACTAAAAAGAATGCCCGGAACATCAACATTGACATATCAACAATTGATGACCCTGCTGTGTCATGCAGAGGCAGTGATGAATGGAAGGCCCATGACTTATATCAGCGACGATCCGAATGATCTTGTGGCAATATCACCTTTCATGTTTCTACAATAACAGACAGATGTCGAGTTTCCCGAGTGCCAGAATATGGGACCTAATCCAACGACACAGAAACTGCGCTATTTGAACAAACTGAGGGGGGAGTTGAAATCACGATTCAGGAAGGAATATTTGTCCCTCCTGGTCCAGAGAAACAGACGCATTTACAATCCAAAACTCCAGGCTGGGGATGTTGCCTTGTTGGTATGGACAATAAAAAGCGTAACTTCTGGCCATTAGCAGTGATCGAGGAGATATTATTTGGAAGAGATGGAGTGAATAGATTAGTGAAGGTGAAAACCGCAGTAGGAACCTTCCTAAGACCTATTCAGAAAATATATCCCTTGGAAATATCATCAACAGCAGCTTCTTCGCGATTGCTGAATGATAAAGAGAAAACTGCAAATATTCAGACTAGATCGGGAAGAACAAGTTTGTATACCCAACCGATTGAACGATTATTATTGTTTTCCTATTGTGTGTCTAGAGAAAAACAGGTGGGAGGAAATGTAGAATAATGGAGATCCACTTCGGGACGTCGGCCAGACGGATTGGGTGACATCAAACAAACATACCCGCCAGCGGCGCCAGCCGGCAACAGAGGATTAGAGCGCGGCCTGGTCTGTTGACCAGTTGGGTGTTTTCCTCTGTCCTCTTAACATGTTTTAAATAAAGTTAGTTTGAAGAAGACTTTTACCCTCTCCTTTCTGTTATTTAGTGATCTGATTTAAATCCTTACAACAGCCCACAAAAGAATCATCACTGCGAATTCTTCTACCGAATTTCGCATTATTGTTTTGTGAAACGATTACCAGACTCTTTTCTCCACAAGTAGATAGGAAATTACAAAAATGATACACATATAAATCATAAAATATTGGTAGAGGGTGAAATTTTGGTATCCATTATTATATTGGCTTGTTTTTAACCAATAGATTGGAAATGACATAAGTATATAATAACAATTATACTAAAAGTCCAGGGTAGCCTAGTGGACATGGCATCCGTCCGGTAAGCAGAACACTGTGGTTTCGATTCCCATCCCTGGACACTTTTATTTTTCCGTTTGTCATTACTCTTCACAATTCATCCTTTCATACCTCATCCCTAAGGTTAGAAATAATCATTATTTCTCCTTGGTATAAATTTGGATTTTTCGTTGAAAAAGAAACACATGCGGGATGGTTTTAAAATGTCGTTTTACAATCACAAACCGCATTATATTGTATTACTAAAGTATATCATTGAAAATTTTAAAGATAACATTGAAAACCAAAAAATTAATTGGTAAAGGATAGGTTGCAATATTAAGATATTAGATTATAAGAAAAGACATTTACGAAAAAGCAATGAACTTTAAGCAAAGGTTAAATACGTACAAAATACAAAGTGTGAAAAGAAATGAACATGTAATGAATAAAAGAATTAATGGTAAGATTATTGAATGTTGACATTTGAAGAAAAAAGAATCAAGGTGGATAAAATAAGAGTTAAAATTTGCATATGTTGTTCTCGCTAAATTTTACATATTGGCAGGAATGCTTTTAGATATTAATTACATATTGAATGAGTAATGGGAGTAAAAATTTCTAATTGAAACAATGGTAACCTATATACACTTCGTTCTCTTTTTATGCGGTTTTTTTATGCGGTTTTGGAGTTATGCGGTGCAAGAAAAAAAAAATTATTCGAATTTCGAAAATTTTTTTTTTGGTGATTCACTTTTTCTGAAAACGAATAAGAATAACAACTACAACTCTACTATTACGCAATCAATACAAAGAAAGAATTTTGTAACGTCCTGGTTGTATGTTAAGTTATCCAACAAAGAGTAGAGGGGAAGTTCCAATGTCTTTTATTCCACGCCTGCCGGTGTCTTACACAACTCGTGCAAAACCGAAATCAAAACTGAAAACCCGCCGGCGTGCCAGCTGCCGTTACAAATTTCTTTTTTCTTTTATTGACATGTTTTCTCTTGATTTGTTCTTAAAAACAAAAGAGACAAAAACAAAAATACCTCGTTAAAATTGCGTGTTTTTATGCTGCATTTTGTTTTTGTATGAAACTAATTAAAAAAGCCTGCATATTGGAAAGCATTAGAAAATAAAACTTTGTGAAAGAAGGTTACTACCGAAAACTGGAAGATAAATTTACTCAAGTGAATTGTAAGTTTTTTTGAATAATTTTAGTGCGTAATTGTACATTAAGTTTTTTCTATAATTTTTAGTCCTCTTAAAGAAAATGTGTGACAATAATATAAAACAAAAAAGAAGTGCAATTTCGCTAGAAACCAAAATTATAATTCTCGATTGCTTGGCGAAAGGAGAAAGATCAACAGCAATAGGTAAACGTTATAATTTAGGCGAATCTACTATAAGAGCAATAAAAAAAAATGAAGCGGCAATAAGAAGATCAGTCAGATCTGGTACAAATTTGAGTTCTAAAATTTCATCATATTCAAGAGGCACTTTAATAGAAAAAACAGAAAAGGCTCTCGTATTGGATTGAAGATTTAACTCAAAAAAGAATTCCGTTAGATGGACATTTAATCAAGATGAAAGCCCTTAAATTTTACAAGGAGTTAAAAGAATCGGAGCCATCTACATCTTCACGTGAAAGTAATCCACAATTCTCTGCCAGCACAGGGTGGTTAACTGGTTTTATAAAAAGACATTCTTTTCATAATCTAAAAATAAAAGGTGAGGTGGCTTCTGCAGATGAAGAAGCTGCTAGAAAATATCCTGAAAAGTTGGCTAAAATGATTAAAGATGGAGGATATTGTGCCCACATCAAATCTTCAATGCTGATGAAACAGGATTGTTTTGGAAAAAAATGCCAACCCGTACTTACATTGCAAAGTCCGAAAAAAATGCCAGTGGTTTTAAAGCTGCTAAAGATCGAGTTACTTTATTGCTGTGCAGCAATGCATCTGGCGATCGAATGTTAAAACCGCTGCTTGTAAATCGATCTTTAAAACCACGTGCATTAAAAGGAAAAGACTTAAATACACTGCCCGTACATTGGATGGCAAACAGAAGGCCTGGGTAACAACGGCTATTTTCACTGAATGGTTCAATAAATGCTTCGTACCCGAAGTAGAAAATTATATGAAAGAGATGGGTCTCGAATTTAAGATCTTATTAATTCTTGACAATGCACCAGGTCATCCAAACTTAGAACATCCAAATATAAAGGTAGTTTTTTTCCCTCCAAACACAACGAGCCTAATTCAACCATTAGATCAGGGAATTATTTCAACATTTAAAAAATATTATGTAAAATTCACTTTCCAATTCATTTTCGATAAACTGGAATCCGATACAATAACAGTTACTGAAGTTTGGAAACAATTTAATATCTTGAACTGTGTAGATCATGTTGCGTTAGCAATTGCCGAGATAAAATCACAAACTTTAAATGCATGTTGGAAAGCTGCTTGGCCTGAATGCGTATCAAAGAGAAATGAATCAAATAGAACAACAATAGTAACATCAGATATTATTTCAATTGCTAAGGAAATAGGTGGGGAAGGTTTTGATGATTTTGGCGAGCATGATATAGAAGAATTGCTTGTGGACGAAGCCCTAAATGATGATGATATTTTGGAAAGTATGGTAGATACTACTAAAGATTTCGAAACAGTAGATAGCGAACTGGAAGATGTTACTCCACTGGACGAAAAATTACTTCGGGAAGGCCTTCAACTTTCCGGTAAATTGGAAATTTTTTTTATTCAAAATGATAATGATGTAGAACGCGCCTTAAAATTCCAACGTGATCTGAAATTTTGTATGTCTGGCTACAGAGAACTCTACAAAGAACTAGTCAAGCCATCACAGCGTTTGATTACTGACTACCTTGTCAAAGAAAAAAAAATCACTGAAGTTCCTAAAGAAGCATTACCATGTAGATCTGATGACGTAATTTTATCTTCAAGTGATGAAAGTGATCTTGCACCAATCCACAAACGGGTTCGCACATTATCAGACAGCGAATAATGATGAAAACATTCTTAATATGATTTTAAATAAAGTTTTGTTTATGTTTTTTTTTTACATATTAAGTTTTGTTATTAACACACATATGTGCCATTTATTAAAATATGATGAGAAAAAAATTAAATCTTATTATTTATAAATCTTTTTTTATGCGATTTCTGGTGCATTTTAAAACATTATTTAGGTTTTATGCGATTTTTTTAATAAATGGAACGTATTGAAGCGATGCAGAAAAGTAGAAGAGAAGAAGTGGGAAGGCCAAGGGAGGCAAGGCACGCCCGCGCGAGCACGCCGGCGCGAGGGAAGAAAAGAACAGTTTGGAACGGCTTTGGAAGGCAAATGTTTACCTCCCATGTATGAAGGGCTCCTTCAGGGACTGTGTGGATTAACAAGTGGAGGACGAGGAGAAACCTACCTGGGGCGGCATTAAAGGCAAGTGTTTATCTCCCATGTATAGTTATTAATATCCCTTTTTAAGTTCTTATAATAAATATACCGCACTAAGCTGTATCCTAAACGAACTCACATTGTCTTCTCAGTAAACCTTGAACACAAACATCGACGGCTGAGAAGCGTCGTAACAGTATCCATCATTTTACATATAAATGTATGTCTTTTTTTGTGCGATTTTTTTTATGCGGATTCCCCTGGAACGCATCTACCGCATAAAAAAAGAACCAAGTGTACTTTGAATTAGGTGTAACAAGGCACTTGTATGATAAAGAATTTGAAATAAATTCTAAAATAAAAATAGGAAAATATGAGAAACATTACACACACACACAAAAGCCTTTATTAAGACACACTGGTCTTATAGAGGATTCTCCCCGAGATTACAAGAGAGATAGGGCTGTGAAAGTGGGTAATATACAGATGAAGAAAAAGAAAGATTATGTAAGTATGATATATACATACACATATACAACATAACAACAAAAGCCCCCATTAAGACCCAAAGTCTTACAAAAGACTCGACTGCAGGATCCAAGAAGCAAAGTAAGAAAGAGATAAAGAAGTGAACAAAAAAATATACATATAAAAATAATATATATATGTGATATCTTGGGACCTCTGGGACCAGTGTTACCTGATGCTCGACGAACCTCGATGTCAACTCTCCCGTGCAGTCGTGGTGGAAGGCGACACAGCTGGGCCAAAGGTGAAATAAACAAACAGAGATTCCACTAAAAGCGTCTGACGTCAAGAAGGAATGGGATGAGGAGAGAGAGATTTTAGAGCAAGTGTTACCGTTGAGTTCCAAGCGAAGACTGACAATTCTAGGTCCTTGATTTAACACCACGACCTTGCTTCTTTCTGATTGGCTGACCTATTTAGGTGATTCTTTCCTAATTGGTGGGACTTTTTCACGTGGCCGTAGGCTATTGGTTGACCTACTTAGGTGATGTCTTCTCGCGGCTTTCTTTGATAGAAAATACGTCCTGTCTTGGCCCGGAAATTGGGCGTCACTCTTAGATTTTATGGTTTCCTCGATATCAGATACGCCCTGTCCTGTCAGGAAGTATTGACTTGTAAATTATTTATAGTTGGGCTGGTTTTAAGCCTCTTTTGCTAGGCCTTGCTTCGACTTCTGTCCTAAACCTGATTTGTTTTAACCTTAACTTTCTCCTGTCTCTCTCCATTCCTTCTATCTGTACAGTTGCAATACTTTATTAGATTCTTACGCGGTACAGATTGATGTTAGTTGAGGTTTTCTATGTGCAGTACATAAGAAGTTATATACAGTCATGGGGTGGAACATGTGGTAGTGGATATTTAGACTATTTACAACAATGCCATGGTCTTAAATCATCACAGATGGCCCCGGATGTGAGAGGGTTCATATGGAGGGATTTAAGAGAGCGGAATAGGAAGACTGTTATTAAGGAAGTAATTTTTTAAAAATTAATTAAAGTGAGTTGGTATATAACATGGGGTTGATTTCTGTATATCCATAAGAGGTAATAAAGCATAAACAACTAATATTAAACATATAAGTAAAATAAAAATAGGAATAAAAGAATTAATAGAGAGCATATAATGATGATAGGAAAA